CTATTTGGGGCGTAGGAAAAGCGTCAAAGCCTGCAACCTCATTTACCTTTTGATAGTCTATGCAGAGGCATATGGATCCATCTGATTTGGGGATGGTCACCATCAGGCTATGCCAGGCACTGTGGGATTCCTGAATGATCCCCAGGCATAGCACATCTTGTCATTTTCTTCTTTGATTATTGGCCATAGGTGACAGGGGAGCCTTTGCCAGCAATTCCGTACCACTACATTTGTGAGTGTCTTTATTCAGTGTTCTACTTTGGCCTCTCCTGGGTATTTGTTAAAGACATCATAGAATTCCCTAATGATCTTCCCCACTGCTTCTCTTTGATCCTGTCCTAGGTCTTCACCTACCTCTGGTTTCTCAGGTAGGTCCTGTTGTTCCTGGGGTACTCCTACTTCCTCAAAATCCTCAATGTTCATATCTTTCTAAATTAACCACCCCTCTCGCTGGTGCCATTTCTTCAATAGATTGATGTTCCTCCTTGTTTCCTCCTAACAAGGTGTGTTCCCAATATCTCATAGTTAACAGGTCCAACTTTTCACAAGACCTGAAAAGGTCCTTGCCACTGCGCTAACAACTTGTGAGTGCTATCTGGTAGTAATACCAGAGCCCAATCTCCTTCTTTAAGTTCTCATTCTTGTGTATGGACATCATAGTTCCTCTTTTGTTGGGCCTCACTCTTCCCCAAGTTACTTTGGGCTCTGTCCCGCACTCTCTCTAACCTCTTCTGGAAGTCTGTCACTGTTCAGGGCCATCTTGGCCTCCCCGGCTCGGGCTCCATCCAGTTCCCACAGATTAGGTTTAAGATCCTCCGTGGTTGGTGCCCATACACCAGTTCAAAGGGTGAATATCTGGTAGAGTTTTGTGGGGCCTCCCTGATGTCAAAGAGCAAGGGGGGTAGCATCTCATTCCACTTACTGGGGTCCCTTAGATACATGCCCAAATCATACCTTTTGAAAGGTCCAGTTGAATCATTCTACCAGTCCATTGGTCTCGGGAAGGTAGACTGAAGTCCATAGCTGATTGATCTGGAGCATATTGCATATGCCCTTCGGGACACTAGACAAAGTTCTTCCCCTGGTCAGTTAATATTTCTTGGGGTAGCTCTACCCAGGCCACCCACTTCATAAAAGCATCAGCAATTTTCAGGGCCATCAGAGTCCATAGGGGCACTGCCTTAGGGAATCAGGTGGCATAATCAGTGATTATTAATACAAATTGGTACCCCACCTAACTATACGGGATGGGACCTGTCACGTCCAATGTGACGCGATTGAAAGGTTTCTCTGCCAGAGGTAGGGGGATCTTTGGTACCTTGGGGGTATGTGCCTCTCCTGTCTTTTGGCAGGCCAGGCACTCCTGGCAGTATTTCTCTACCATCTTGAAGAGTCCTGGCCAGTAAACCAACTGCTTTAAAAATCGGGCCTCGGTCTTGTTTCTGCCTAGATGCCCCCCATGGGAAGGGTGTGAGCCATTCTCAACAAGTCCCTCCAGTACCATCTAGGAATGAGTATCTGGCTTCATTTCATCCCCTCTTTTCTGGTCTCAACCTAATATAGATTGTTATCTCTTACCTCAAATTGGGGGATTTGCCTTGCCCACACTGGATCCAGCACCTCACCTTCTTGTTTGACTAGTTGGTCTTACAGGATGTTTTTAAACAAGGGCTCTCTTTTCTTCCCTTCTCAGAATTGGTCTCCATCTATGAGTTGAGATCCTCTGCTTTGAGGTCGGCCAGGTCTCCACAGCACACCAGATGGAACTCATAGGTCAGGTCTTCCCCTGATTGACCCTGCATGGCTCAATCCAGCACCTCACAGAGATAAGGCCAGTCTACCCCTAACAGCATGGGGCAGGGTAGGGTCTTGGCCAGGCCTACTGCCAGCTTGACTGTCCATCCCATCGCCATGAGTTTCACCCACCTTCTTTCATAAGTATGCAAAGTTCTGCATATACATATCATGTTTACTGAGGTTTCGGGGCTCCCTATCTGGGGCGGTATCAAATCTTCCCGGACCATGGTCTAGGAACAACCTGTATCTATTATAGTAGGAATTAATGTCCCCACTATCTTGACCTCTACCACTAGCTTGTTTCTCCAGGGGGCTTTGTCTCCAAAAGTTACACTCTATCTGTTCTTCGTGGGGATAGTTGGAAGACATCTCATGTAGCACCTTTTGGAGACAGGCCCTGGCCACATGGCATTTCTCAATACACCAGTAACAAATGAATTCTTTGTTATCCCATCTTCTGCCCTCATGTGTGGGGTTCCAGGGAGCTTCCACCCCCTTTACCCTCTGGCCCCCTCCAGGTCTCAGGGCTTGGGGTGTCCCAGTCCCTCTCTTCTTGGGTTATCCCCTTTGGCTTCAGCTGCCATATAGTCTTTGGTCAGTTGGAGCACCTCCTCCATACTTTTTGGTCAATGTCTCCTGACCCACCTCTGGGTCTGGCCCCCTAGGTCCATCAGGAACTGGTTTAATACAATGAGATCTATTATTTCAGCCATTGTGCATTCCTCAGGGCGGAGCCACTCCTACCAATCCCTCAGGCTCTGGGCCAGTAGGCGAGGTCTAAGCTCTTCCACTTTTTTTTTAGCCCTGAACTTTTGTCACTACGTCTCAAGGGATATCTCCAGCCAGTATAATATTGTGGCCTTCACTTCTCCATAGTCCCAGGCCCCCACTCTGGTAGTGGTTAGAGCTGTGTAGGCTGCCTGGGCTAGTCCAATCAGTAGGGGCCCAAGCCTTACTGCCCAGCTAGCCGGGTCCCATTTTAGAGTCATAGCTATGTGTTCCAAGGCTTCCAAGAATGCCTCTGGGTCATCTTGTGGGCACATCTTAGGGAACCTTATCCCACCCCTCTTAGGTCATTGTTACCTTCTGTGCCTCTTTTTTCTCCCACTCAAGTCTTGTTGGAGGTTGAAGAAGCAGATTCGGGCCTCAGTCTCCTGGGCCCTTAGCCTTACCATTTCTTCTAGTTGGGCTTGTTGCCCCAAGTATATATAACATCATGGTGTGGGCCTGCTGCCAATCCCCTGGGGCTTGCACCTCCATGGAATCCATTCTGTCCACAGGTTGTTCCTTGTTTCACGGGTTCCTGGCCAATGCACCAGCTGTAGGAGGGTAGGTGATGTTACCCTCAATTTCATCTGGGATGACTCTCCTGCCACGACTTTATGGCAGGAGAAAAGAAGAATACCCACCCCTGGTGAATTATACAACACAGGCAGTTAAGTTTTAGCCAGTCACAAGGATTTCATTTATTGAATAATTCTCTCTTGTATGTTAACTGAAAGAAACACCTGTTGCTTTAAGCGGCAAACTGCCACTTTTCCTGAGCCCCAGAGCCTGTCTCTGAAGCCTGCTCTTTCATCCTCCAGGGATTCTTGCTCCAGGTCCTCCGTCTGCATCCTGGTGATTACCCTAACCTGGTAAGAAGGAATTCTCTCACCTTCCTTGGTGGTGGTATCCGGCTGTGATTTGCTCACGTGGCTGTGATCCATTCTGGGTTTTACTGTCCAGTCCTCCCATCTGGTCTCTTGTCCTTGTCATGCCTCTGGGGGCAGTTACTTGTTCTGAGTGGCCACCTTTTATTCCCCCATAGGCATTTGCCCATGATAATTAAAGGAATTAATTACTGGTGTCGGCTTTCTTCTCAGCCGCACTGGCGTTTTTCCCATGCTTGCCCCATTCCTGACCCTGCAGGGTTACTCCCGGTCACTTCAGTAACAGAGTTGCCATATCACCCTGTAACACAAGGCATGGTGGGAAAGAAGGAGGGGAAGGTACCCTAGAAGCAGAGCAGGGCATGGGCATTAGGGCTGCCCCTGAAGCCTGAAGTGGTTACACTTTTAAAAGACATGTATGTTTATTTAGACAAAAATATTTACTATGGAGATACTCCTTACAAACCTACCTTGCTGAGATAAAGCAATAATACGCCATCATTGTTTACAATAGCTTTACTTGCAAGATGAGGATAATGATGTCACAAATAAAGGATTATGGACTTTTGCTAGGCAACAAATGGCAAGAACTGACTAAATTCAAGAGAGGTCTATTTTCACATAAATGTCTTTAACAGCAAAGAAAAATCACATGGTTTTTAACCCTGCCTATATAATATCAAGCATACCACCAGAACTTTTGTATTAATCCTGTTTATTTCAAAGCTTTCATTGTGGAACCAGCAGCTCTTTCAGCCTGATGATGTAATTGGTACATATTAGGGGCTTGTGAAATGGGCCCTATTCAATTCAGATTTGGATTCAGCCTGAATCAGGACAGTGATTCAATTCATTGATTGGGATCACTGTCCCCAGTTGGACTCGGCCAAATCTGAATCTACAGATTCAATCCTGATTCAGAGAATCAGCGATTAGGCCATAGACACAGCTTTAAAAGTTTTTTCTACATACCTCTAGGTACCAGGTCCGTCTTGTGAATACTGCGATGCTGGGGCAGATGAAGCAGCCCACAGGAGTGGGGGGGAGGAGGCCCGCATGCTCAGCAGTGAACCCGGAAGTGGACCAGAAGTACTTCTGAGTGCACTGAGGAGCCCCCCACAATTCTGTGGCACACTCCATACAACCCAGCATCCACAAGCCCCAGGGTACCTTGAGGTATGCAGAAAAAATATTTAAAGCTGTCTATGGCCTAATCGCCAAATCTCTCTGAATCAGTTTGGAAGGTTGATTCAATTTAGAGAGATTAAAGAGTATCCTGATTCGATTCGGATTTGGAGAGTTGGCCACTGAATTGGGCTGAATCTCCACCAAATCAAATCAGGGACTGGAGCTTCACACAGCCATAGTACACATTAACAGCTCTTACTGACTTGACTGTAACTTTTTCATATCTGAAGTTTAGGCCCAATTGTATATTTTTGATCCCCTAATGGTTTAGTATGATTTCAGGCTTGAGAAAGTTCATCAGCTATTGCTGCTTCTAAAACAGCTCTCTGTCTTTCTCTCTCTCTCTCTTTCTCTCGCCCCCAGAGGCAATGGGAATATTTGCCATTGATTTCAGTGAAAGCAAGATGGGACCCATACAATAATCTGTAATAATTGCTTGCAGTAGAATGCAAGAGTTGTACAATTGTTACTGCTCTGATCTGAGAAACCTCAAATCCATAACCATAAAATGTTTATTCACACTGAAAACAGCTACATACTTTGCAGGGCTGAGCTTTTTCCTTGTTAACCAGCAGCTGCATTCCTGCAGAAGGTCTTATATGCTAAGTACAGACATTCAGGGATGTTAGGGGGAGGGGATCAGGGTCCAAATGGCAAACTGATCTAAGGTAAGTCAGGATTGGGGGCCTAGCAGGAGGGGTGGGGGGGTAGGTGCAACCTGTGGGAGTGATCAAGGAGATCAGTGTGGCAGGTGCAATCTGCAAGGGATTGCTGGAGGGTCTGGTAGGATCAGGGGGATTCATGGGGTCTGCAGGGGGATTTGAGGCAGGGACCAGGGGCTATTTTTAGCTCCCTGACCTCCCCCCCCACCCCATGAACATACACACTCATCAGTCCTACCACCTGGAGCAGTGTGTGGGATGGGCTTTGGTGGGAAACTGGCTGGTCTGTGAGGAAAAGAGGGAAGGAGGGGTGAGGGACTGGGACACTAAAAATAGCCCAATTTCAGGCATGGGTTTGTGAAAAGCACAGCCTTTGGGCTGGAGCAAGGGCTGGGGCTGGCAGGGCTTTCCCAGCCCCATGGCTGCACAGGTGGGTGCACTGAAATTTCATGCACTGGTCTAACCTAGATCAATTAAATGTGTGTGTACATCAATCCATGTCTATCTTAGACTGGGTTCTGCCATTTTTAAACTGGTCTGTGTGTGGAACTTTAGTACAGTTATGGATTTAGATTGATTTCCAATTACAGAGACCGGGTCTGAGTGTAAGGTCTGCATCCAGGGTGAGCTAAGTTACATCAGGTGGCCATTTTGAACCCACTCTAACCTCCCCCTTAACATGCCCGAATGTCTGTACTTTGCCTTAATGCCCAGGCCTAGATAAGCTGCAGAACAGCTGCCTTTCAATTTACCCGAGTCAATCTAATGGATGTTACATATGCCAACAGAGGAAGACCTATTCAAAATCACAGATAGGTTTATTTGCTAGGTCTGCTGTAATTCAAAACATTACAAAGTTTCAGCTTCCTGTATATTATCCTAACCATATTGCTTAATATCTTAAGAAAACAGTATCTAAAATTTACCACTGTGTGTTTTTATAAGCACCACGGCCAGATTTCTAAAAGCGCTTGGCTCCCACTGAGAATTACAATGTGCTGAGAATGTTAAAAAAAAATCTAGCCAGTGATGCCTGGGACACGCACATAATAACTGTCCTGTATTCTCATACTTGCAACCCATCTGGCCTTTACTCCAACAGTAATGAGCAGTTTCTAAGACTTACTCATGCATTTTATAGCATTTTTTCTAGTGACCTTTTAAAGTTGTCTTTTTTCTTTCCAAAGTTTATTGAAACTGTCAGAAACTACACCCTACTCATGCTGGAGTTTTGGAGAACTCAGATACATCTCAGCTCAATAAAGCAAAACATATGAAAATCCCAAGTTCTGTTTAGCACCTTGCCTACAGACCTGCCTGACTTTGGCATGCTGGGTTCTTCCCTGAAAGCTGCATTTGAAAGGAAATTTGTTTTTAATTTACAACCAGCACCTAAATGGATGTGTTTAATTTTAAAGCAACTACTGAATCATGTATAAAAACGGTAAGGTACTTTAACTTCTATCAGGTGTAGCTTCAAAGACTCAATTTATCATTTTTCATCCACTGTTTGCATGGAATTCCATTCAAAGATAGAGCATAACCTATAAGCAAAGGGACTTGTTTTATTGAATTAAATCATGCCTAGATGTTGGGGGGTTTTAAATCAAGATTTGATGTTACAGATGCATGAGCTAAGAGGTAAGCAGATGACTGTCCCAAGTTGAAGACTTCATTTATATGAAAAACAATTAACTAAGCAATAATGTTGCAAAGTTGAAAACCCAGCAGACCTTAAAGGCGAACTGAAATGTTTTAGTGGTTTTTCAATGTTTGCTTGTACATGACAGCTGCTTTTTAAATTTAATCATCTCAGTAGAGATTTTTTTCGTCATACATAGTAATGGTGGCATTCTCCTGCCGAGAGCTACTGGCTGGATTGCCAACCCTGAGAGAATGTGTATTTCACCAAGGAAAAAACATATGAAGGAGAACAATTTGATCACCATGCAAATAAACCCTGTTGGTTTACCTAAGTTTCCAGGATTGACTGATGGGAGAGGAAATAAAAATTAAAAAAGCAAGCCCAATTTAAGAAAAGGTTCCAGTTCTAGAAAAAAAATTTGTTTTAAATATAAAGCTACAATTTCCTCACCTTCTGCAAATAAAAACTGCAACACACAATCCTTTCAGAACCCAGCTAGCTATAGGAGAATAAATGCTAGAAAACTCCACGGGCAATGAGGTGTTGCATATCAGCATGCATGTTAGTTTGGACCTGATCCTGTGAGGAGATACTTTCCTCTCCTCTGGGTTTCAATAGCAAGAGTGTTCAGTGCCTCACAGAATCAATCCCCCCCCATACACACCTTTTTTTTTTTTTTTAAAACCAGTGCACTTATTATATAGTCATATAGCTTGCTGCCAAGCAGAAAATTATTTAATAGAGATGACTAAATCATATTCAGAAAGCATCTCGAAAGAAAACAGAAGAGGCAGTGCGTATCTCTAAACTGCAAAAAAAACTGCAACAGGCAAAATGCAACGGGCCATATATTTTTCTAGTACATTCCTTACTGAAGCCAGCATAGATAAATAAGGGATGAATTTGGTCCCCCATTGCTGAGGTATATTGTGGTAGGCTCCACACACTCAAGAAGGTCTAATTCCCCTGCTGAACCGTGCCACTGAAAATTGAATCAAGTGGAAGGTGGTATAGGGAAAGCGTTAAGGTTACCAAATCTCGTCTGTGTTAAAAGGAAGGAGAGCTGCCTCAACAGCTGTTCCCAACAGCTTTGTTACAAATTTATGAAGTAGAAGTCCTGACACAGAAACCTGAGATGAAGTCAACTTCCTTACTCTGTCAAGTGCATATTTTTCTCATTATTCAACACTTAACAGGGATGACAGCCAAGATTAAATAGTCAGTCATCTTCTGCACCATAATGGCTCCTGCATGATTGCTTCAAATTAAATCTAACAGTCAATGAAATAGTCAATATTTAATTTACTCATTGCAGGTGGCGATTTAGCTCCAGTTACGATATTGTTTAATGACAGAAATATTGGTATTTATCTCTTTTTATTGGTCTGCAGAAGATATGGTGTTCCTTTATTAGGCAAAATGTCCATACAGCTTTAAGTCATATGTCACTGTTCAAAGAGCAGATTTTTGTCATGGCTAACAGCTCCTGCCTTTTATCTGTTTTTCCTTCACACTTGCCATCAGTGAATAGATGAAAGGGTGGCTGTGAGTCTTTGGAAGACCCAAGATGTGAGAGAACCATGACAGTATCTACAGTTTGATTTTTCCAAAACCGTGTTTTCATTGGTTAGTTATGCACCTAAGCAAACACTTGAATTTAGAAGAACCCAGTATAGCCGTGACAGCCCAAGTCAATCAGGGTTAATTTCTACTCTTTTGAACTCCCTGGGTTAGTTAAATAAAAGTCATTAGGCAGTAGAGGGAGTTCTAACAGAACCAGCTTCCCTGACATTCATTACTAACCTTCTGACCACTAAAGAGTTCATCAAGTAGAGAAAGACAAGTTTTAGCACTGTAGGAAAAAGGCAAGAATGATTTTTCCCTCTTTTAATGGCTGTACTGTATCTTCTGACTTGTGGTATTTGGGCGATTCTTGAATATACACTACAAAGATCTGCCTCTAGACTTTATAAGTAAACATTTTTCTGATGAGGAATAAGGCTTTGCCAAATAGTTATTATTACCTGGCCTTTTCAGGAATAAGAAGTTTAAAGCATCCATAAAGGAACAGAAGAGATAAAATGAGCTCTGACATATTCAGTTCTAGCGCTAGTCCAATCACCTAGTACAGGACAGGTATCCACATCCTTATAGTCTTTAAATCTAAATGAATTTAATGGAATATTTACTTATGTAAGGACTGGGCACATATACACGTGCTTTAATGCGTAGTAACCTATTTTACTGTACATTAGAGTATCATGATGAATACTTTAATGCGCAGTAAAATTAGGTTACTGAGCACTAAGCATGATTTAAAAAAATACACTTTGGCTATTGTGCATTAGGGTGGTGTAATGCACATTTAGTTATCTCACGTTAGAGGACACCTACATATGAATGCGGAGGCTGCTCTAACGCACAGAATTCCAGTGCATCAGAGCAGACTCAACTGCCACACTTCAGCAGCCTCCAGCATCTCATGTATCACTGTCCCTTCTCTTAAAAGAGGTGGCTGGGGCACTTGAACTAAAGCTCATTGTAGAAGCTTTAGTTCTAGTGCCCCAATCACTATTTTTAAGTGTGAGGATGCTGATAAAGGAGATGCAGCAACACTTTAATTAAAGGGGCCCTTGGAGCCACTCTAGTTAAAGCACCACCCCCCTCTGACCACCAGAGCATGTGTAAGAGTGCCTAGAGGTACTAAACTTAATGTGCAGTAGGAAACGTGCATTAATGAACATGTACGCGCACACACCGAGAACCAAACTGCCTCACTGAGATTATTTATTTAATTATTTATTTACAGTAATAGAGTGGAACAATTTAAGAAAACTAGAATATCATACCTAAAACAGACCCAGTAAGCAATATCTCAGCCTAGCTTTAATTCCTCATTGTCTGCTCAAATAGGAAGGTCCTATACAGTTTCCAAAACATACAGGTTTTGGCTCTGGTAGGACTCAAGAGAGGAGGTTCAGAGTTGAAGACCAACTGCCAAAAATGACCTCCCATGCATTTTCACCAAGCAAACTTGACACACTAATGGAACTTACAAAAGGTTGCTCTTGGCTCACTTTAGGGATCACAATGGGCATAGAGGAGAAGGTAATTCCTTAGGTATGTAGGGTTCAAACTGTTTAGGGCCTTATTGGCCCAAACCAGCACCTTGAAGTACTCCCAGGGTGCAGCTACACGTGCACATTTACTGCACAGTAACCGAAATTACTGTGCAGTATGGATGTGCATCTACACATGTACACCTGCACTGTGCAGTAAATATGATGACTTACGCTGACTTGAGCATAAATTTTATACCTGTATCAAGCAAGTATCAAATTTATGCCCAATTAGTTACTGCACAGTAACACACAGGTAAATGCCTTACTGTGCAGTAGCACCATGTGTGAACTGACTTGGGACTAAATTTAATCCCAAATCAGTCCACACACAGCGTTAAAGCATTTTAATGCCTGCACTTGTAGAAGCCACCCTATTCCTGCTGTAAATTTAAGCCAGAATAAATGCACATGTAGACACTACCCCAGAAAGCTATTAGGAGACAGTGCAAATGCTGGAGGACTGCAGTTATGCTCCTAGTCAAAAGGCAGGCTGCTGCATTTTGCACCACCTGCAGTTTCGACATTTTCAAAGAAATCCCTGTATAGAGCACACAGTAGCAGTTTAACCTTGAGGTTGAGGATGTGAGGATGTGCCTGTGGAAAGGGTGACTGATACGTTGTGAGTTCAGCAACTCACACTGCTATGTTGAACTAAGTTATTTATTATTACAATTC